ATTATATACATCTACACATATGTACACATCAATTATATAAATGACCTACCAGTAATAAAATTCCAAATTAGGTACTTTACACTGGCTTCTGTTAAATCTACAAGTGCCTCATGTTCACTTTTAGTTAAAACATCGTGCAAAGTCGTGACTAGAAGAAACATTTGTCTAATAGAAATAAAAGAGGAGTGATATATAAAAATGTGCTTCAGCAACAAAGGGCTTTGATGGGGGGGGGGGGGGGGGAGGTCGGGGGGGGTAAGGACACGGCAGGGGGCGAGCGGATGGGAGATGCAAACACACACCCCCACCCAAAGAAAGGGGGAGCCCACATAGGGGGGACGTGACACTCACTCTGGCGGTGGCGGACGGGCTCCGCTGGAGGGGACTCCCTGCCCTGCAGCTGCGGGTCCATGGGATTGGGCATTGCCTGAACAGCATTGGGGGGCAGAGCGTGCCAGGCTCCCCTCAGATCCCGGCCATCGCCCTGCACGTCGTCAGGAGCTGGGAGGAGGGGAGGGGGTGAGGTCTCATCGAGGCGCATCACGCACGTTACTTCTGCACGGGGCGCAGGTCAGCGTCTGACCACTGAACTGATTAGGGTGTCTTGGGTTGGAGCAAATTAATCAAGCTGTTCACATCTAGCAATGTCAGAGGCCAAACGCCCGGAAGTTTCCAGCGTTATTTTCATCTCATAAAAAAAATAACAACTATAATAAGCGCGCAGAGAATCTCCCGGGTAATTGCAGGCTAGGAGGGTTTTTGTGGGGCGTCTGTAGGATGCAGCCCCTGACCTCTGCCAGATGCACTACCGCTATCTTACACTTATTGTGTGTGTCACAAAGAGGGTGCTGACCATCACATTACCTGGGTGTAATGATTAAGAACTGCTGCATTCAAAAACAGCCATAACCAAAGACAATCCAGATTTAGAAGTACTACCTAAATTAAAAGTAGCATGCACTGTGGGTTTACAAACAGGTAAAGCACTGCATTTATTAAACGGCAATTTGTATCGTTACCTGCAGAGTGCAGCACAGCAAGAGCTATACACTGCAAACACAAAGCGCCTTTGTTAGGTCTGGTTACGTCTAGAAGTGATTCAGCAGGAAATGCTGCCCTCGAAGAGGAAGATTCATACATGAAAGAATGTTTAACGCATCCTGCCACAGCCCTGGGCAGGTTTCAGGCACAATCAAACATTAAAGGCACACAATATATTTCTCGCTAATTAATTCCACTAAAGCTAATAACCGAATGGGTTTCACAGTCTTCATGCACTCTGCTGTGCTTCTAGTACA